AACATCCTCAGATCTCAGTGACTCAGACTGTGTCGTGTGTTCCTGAGAAGGCTGCGAGAGTTCAAAAGGTGTCTCGTAGTCTTTACAGGCTTGTCGAGCTCTTTATAAATACTTTGAGTCAGTCCTGTGCAGTTTAGATAGATAGATAGATATATACTTTATTAATCCCCTATTGGAGAAATTCTTCTTTTCACTCTTTTTATTTTATACACACACACACACACACACAGGCTGAACCACACACTTCATGCACTTGTGGACATGCAAACAGGGGAGCAGAGTATGGTGGAGTTGACTAGTGATGGGGCTGCCACGTTAACAACGCCCCATGAGCAGGCCTTGCTCAAGGGCACCTCGGCAGAGCACAGGAGGTGAAACTGGCACCTCTCCAGCTACCACTCCACACTCCATACTGTGGTCCGTGGGACTTGAACTGGCAACCTTCCGGGTTCCCAAGCCAAGTCCCTACACAGAGCTACTAGCTTTACAATGCTAAAAAAAAAAGGCTTGACGTGGGATGTTTGACAGAACTACAACAGCTGCTGTGTCAGATACTTCCGTTCACAGAGATTAGTCTTTGTGTGTTTCTCAGCTTCCCCTGGTCTTTCTGCAGCAAAGCATTGGAATAATGTAATCCTACAGGTCACGGCAGAGGTCGCTGCTTCAGTCGGGATGTGCAAAATCAAACACTGCACTTGAGGAAAGAAGCGCCCGACAGATTTTTACTGTTTGGCAGTACCGTTTTTGTTGCCTCTAACGCTCTGTGATCACTCATTTTAATGTCAGTTTATCACACTGAGTTTTCATTGCTTGTCATTTTTTGGCTTTGTTTTGTTTTAATGCCCATTACAGTCTTTCAGTGGCTAGACTAACCAGTCTATGCTGGTTATAAGAAATCTTGCCAAAATTGCTTACCCCACTGGCAGGTTTTGAAAATTGGATTATATTTAAGAATATCTCGCTTGTTTCTAGAAAGTCTGTTTTTGCAGTGCAGTTTTGTTGTCCGATATAAGATAAAGAAGAGGGGTTTTGCCCATTTTCATATCTATGTGGACAGATATATTTACAAAAACAACCTTAAAATACTAGTGCAGATGCATGGCGTGTAAACCTGCGTTTGGATTTGACCAAAAACCCACATTTTACTGCTTTTAGTGATATTCTGAGATTGAAACTAAGATTTTAGGGACCCTTTTTTATAGCAGAACGGTTACAATAATACACAGTGACCGCCCATTTTATATCAAACAGCAAAATCCCGATCCTTTAATATTAAAGTTCCCCTCCAGACATGTATTATGACATGTATACAAATAGTCTGCTTGGAACAACATGGTGCGTCTGATGTTATTCTGCATCTACTCCTTCTACCTCATAAAAAATTCCAGAGTCTATGAGTGTACACATTTTGCTGGACACAAGATGTCTCCTACGTCAACATCAACGGTAGGAATGAGACGAACAACAGAGTTCTGGCTGGAGGGGGAATTTAATGTCCTGTCACTACTTTAAAATAAGAAAAGCTATTTACATGAAAGATGTTTGACAGCTGAGTGTCTCACTGTTAGGAACATGGAGCATACCCCACACCTTTCCTTTGAAGCTGATGACAAATCATGAGTTCGGCAACATGAACCAGGAAAAGATTTCAGTGTTTTATCTCAGTAATGACAAATAGCGCATCAGTACTGGCTTGTTAACACCCTGCTTTACTGGAACATCCCGGCCAATGTGGTTCACTGTGGATTTCTGAGCTCAGTTCCTACTGTCATATATATAATTATATAGAAATATAACCACCCCTAATGTCTTTAGTTCAACAGAAGGAACCAGAGGTGTGGACTTGAGTCATACTTGACTTACAACTTATACAAGACTCTCAACTTCAATTGGACTTAAGACTTGAAAATACTAATACTTAAATATCCAAATCACTTCTTTTACAAACTTCCTGCAGTTCTGTGTTCATTATTTGGGTTCATTGTACAGTTTCTCAGTAGTTCTGTACTGTTATTGTTATACATAAATATATTATGAAATATCCATATGTCAGGGTCGTCAGTTTACTCAATGATAGAAAAGGGCCCCCTTAAAGACAAAAGTTGCATTATTACTTGTAACTTAAAGTCACAAGTCAAAGTCAAAGGTTCAAGACTTCCTTGAGGCTTGCAAAACAATGACTTGGTCTCACCTCTGGGTGGGGACTATCTTCGCACACATAAACTACTTCTAATTTACATGAACTCATCCTGATGTAGTTATCACTTTACAGTAAGACGTGGGAGAGAATTCCAATCTAAAGAAAATTAACTAGAACATGTTGTGCATTGTGAGGCTTGTATCCTGGGCTACGTGTCTTTGGGTTTATGTATCTCTATGCAGAATCCGCCTTCAGTCTCACATCTGCAGCTCATTCCAGGGTGGTGATCTTCAGGCTGCAGTGTCTGATGGGGGAAGCGTAGCATTGGACCATCACAGCACGCAGCCCTCTGTTTATCTCTGATTCTCAAACAAAAGCCTCCCAGTTCCTGTCTGCTTAGCGCCTCAAATCCACAATCTACTCTCTCAATCTGCTCTCCCTCTTTCTTTCCCTCCTCTCCTCATTTTGCTGCCAAGACGTGATCCCCCTTCTGTTTACTGTGTAATGAGGAAGATCTATTTTCTCATGAGACTGAAGGAGCTGCGTTTCCTGACAGATGAAGTCAATCAGTGGGCCCGGATTAATTAGCCACAAGCTGGAGAGTGACCAGTTACAGGAGCTTGTTTTCTCTCTGCCCTCTGTGCCCGAACACATGCTGACTGACTGGGAAACACATTTTGTCGCTGGCTCACTAACACTGCAAGCATTTGGTTGACAAATGATTTCTTTATCCAGGGCACACCCTAGTGGTCAATGAGTGCAACAACGTGTGCGCCTGACCTTATTGTTGGACATACCTGTACTGGACATACCTGTACTGAACTTCCCTCACCTTTTTCACAGCAGCCAATGATACTAATAAGGTTCTGTTCCATTTAGTGTATCAGAGCCTTTCCAGTGAGCCAGCATGCACAATAGCAGTACCCTGACTCTGTTTGATCTGAATGGAACGGGACCTTAATTAGTATCATTGGTGACACTTGTGTTTACCCTATTGTTTCATGTCAAAATGGCTGCTGTGAAAAAGCTCTGTAGGGCTAATTTTATTTAAAATTGAAGATTGGAACTCAGGTTTTCAGGGCCTTTAAAGTGAATTTTGGGGCCAGAAGGGTTTTAGAAGGAATACAACTTTCAGGGCCAATACAGATACCGATTATTAGTAATCAATGACACCGATAATCCATATTTGGAACCTATTTGCTGTGAAAATCTGCACATAAGTAACATTTTTGCAGGCAAATATTGTACTTTTTACTCCATTCATTTGATAACTTTAGTCACTTTGCAGATTCACATTAATACAAAATATAAAACTATAATGTATATTTTTATACCTTGCATCCATATCATATCTTTAAAAGTAATAATATGTCAGTGTTGCCTGCAAGTGGCCAAAAAACCACTCAATTGAGCTTTAAATGTAATTTTAATTCTTTTCTCTTTCACCAGCCGTTACACACTGCACTACAGTATATGATTATGGATGGTTGGGGGAGATAGGGGAAGAGCTTGGCTTTTTATCTGTTGACTAAAATATGAAGTGATATGCGAAGGAATTAGTCTGTAATTAATCTTGAAAATAAATATCAGCTGCCCCAAACAGCATTTTTTTATGATTTATGTTCTTACTACTCCCCTGCACAAAACCTATGAGCTACGGACACAGTCTGTATTCGATGAACTGTATCAATATGACGTATCTACTGACCCATATTCCACTTTATTTCAGGAAACTAAACAACATAAAATGATTGTAAAAAGGTAGCTAACATATATAATCACATTACATTACAATAAACTCATTTCAAAAGAGTTGGATATTTGCCATATTTGTACTTCAGGTTTTCAAAATTCAGTGTTTGCACATGTTGTGCTGTATGTACCCTGCATATGCAGCGCAGTACTAACCAGAAGCCGTGCAGTCAGGATTAAGCAGCTATTACGTACTGTTCTTGTTCCTGTTTGTTTTTACAAGAATAAGTTGGCGGCAGACAGACAGCCGTCATGCGACCATCAGGACATACAGTCCAGCAGTCATGTACTCAGGTGGCAGCAGGAGTGAAATGTAACTAAGTACATTTACTCAAAAACTGCATTTACATTCATATTTAGGGTACTTTACTTGAGTATTTCCATTTAATGCGACTTGATACTTCTACTCCACCATCTTTCAGAGGTTACTCTTGTCGCTTTCTAGTCCACTACATTTGTCCAACATTTTTCTTACTTCTCAGATTTCAATTTTAAACTCCCTTTCTATCCAGTAAAAAAACAAAACTGGTTATTTATTTTTGTTTGAATGTTTGTGATAAACTGAAGGGCAAAGTGTTTCTTTATGGTACTTCTTATGCTACATCAACTATTTAAAAATTAGCTAGAAAACGCAGTCACAAAGCTGAAAACAGGCCTGTCTTTCTGAGCTCATGAAAAGTTGTAAAAAGTGTATAACCATTTTCTTAAAATTAGGTCAAAAGAATTTTTTTTTTAATATATTGCAATATATTGAACTGCAACCCCTGTATCGTGATACGTATCGCATCGCCAGATTCTTGCCAACACACAGCTCTAATAAACATATGATCTTACAGAACCTTAAACATCTACATGCAACACACAGATCAGATATAATAATAAAACACTGACAGGGAACATTTTACTGCATTAGGACTAGGACTTTTCATACTTTTAGTACATTTTACTGTAATACTTACATACTAGTACTTGCGGTTTTGAATGCAGGACTTTTACTTAAGTAGGTTCTGAATGAATTCTTCTTCCAACAGAGTGTCAGGACATGAAGAGACGTGTAAATGTCCTTTGTATGAAAGCCAAATTCATGCAGAAACATGAGGACAACACAGACATCAACAGTAAAATTTATTCAATAAATTAACATACTCAACATATTCATTATTGTGGGATGATTCATCAGTTTTCTAAAGCACCTTAATCAGATAAAATGAGTGTGCTTTGAACATCAGAGATTAAACCTGACTTTATTCACTTCAATAAGACAAAACTTAAACCCAGATACTTGCTCATTTAATCCGACGGATCGGCAGGAAAAGTTTCAAAACAAACCAACCATTCATTTGTTCAACCTGAAGTTCAACATTCCTATTATGGAACAAGGACCATTTCTCATCTTAGATAACTGGACATTCCCTGCATGCCTGCCCTCCTCTCCTCTGCTTTTTCCAGTTCCTTCTGCAGACACAAAGTGCTTTGGAACATGTTTTGTAGTGGTTATTTTGAGCCTTAAGTAGAAACCCCATTTGTATCAGGGTCAGATATTTTAACAAGTCTTAAAGGGAACGCTCCATGGGAAGAAGGAGAGATGTGTGCGGAGAGGTTATTTACAGGATACGGTTATAATGAACCAGGCTGCATTTTTGCAGCATGAAAACTAGTCAAAGTACCTTTCAATGATGGAAGATCAATTTCTAGGAATTTATATTTGGATTAAACAAACTGCAACAGCTTGGCAAGTTTATGGAGTGCAGCAGACAAGCTCCATATTCAGGCCAGCATCGTGATGCCCGGGCGCGTTCAGGGAGAGAGCCAAATGAGGGAATTAAATTGAGAGATTTGGACGAGGGTCTGAAAGCCTGAAATATTGCTTTTGAAAGCTTTGTAAAGATCTGTCAGACAAACAGTAAACACACAGGTACAGACTGAGAGCTGACAGGTGGCCTCTTGCTTTTTAAAGCTGGGCATCGTAAACTGTTACCGTTGGCAGCTCCGGATTGAAAACTAAAGGTTTTTAACTTAAACACCCCAAAATCCTGAAGGGTGAAGTCAGTAAAGTTCACGTGGACGGTGTTTTTTTACTTTATACTGAAGGGGGAAATGGGCAACATGATTTGCTTACTACTATTAAGCTGTTTCTAATTCAGATTAAAAGCAAGGACTAAAGGACTACACCAGTGTTTTGAATGTTTTACCCCAATTGCTAACCTTGTAAGGCTTCAAGCTATGCACTTGTATTTAAACCACAGTGGTTAGGACCAATCAGCATCCTATGAGGAACTACTGGCAGCTACGGCAGTGCTTTAACACTAGATATGACGCAGTAAGAAGCGACTGTTCATTCAGAAACAACAATGGCTGCTAAAGAGGTTAGCATAGATGCTGCTAGCATCAGAACTGCAGAGTATTTCCTCTTTGAAAGAAGAGCAAAGAACGGCACTGATACTGCTAACTATCCAATAAAGACAATAAATAGCCCCCCCCCAAAAAAAAAATCATTACTTAACAAAAAAAATCTATATCTTGTGACTTGCTTCTTGCTTTAGATGTGCCTGGACCAAGCAAGAGTTGGTAGTGCAGCAACAAGAACAAGAACCCTCGCGAACCAACACAGTATGCCAAAAAATGACATCCATATTTGCCAAGGTTAATGTTCAGGCCAACATTCAGTGGCAATGCAGGAAATGGTTTGCACTTTATGTGTTGAGATAGGAGGAAGTAACATCGCCATTAACACACATTAACATAATAAACCACACCTGTAGGTCACGCTGTAGCTGCCAGTAGTTCTTCACTGGGCCGAACTACTGTGGCTGCTAGCTTAGGTTTCTGAAGCTATTCTACAAACACCTCTGAAGAACCATATCAGCAGTTTGAAGTGGGACCTAGAAAAGATGAGAAAGGTTCAGTTTTATGCAAATATTTTTAAAAACATCAACCCAGAGAAAACCAATTACAGCGCTTGTTTTGTTTACATTGGAGAATGGAACAATGGCTGTTACCATGTGAAGGTCCTACAAATGTTGGAGAAGCTGATTGTTGCAGTAAATGGTTTCCCCATTCAATAAGACATATATCAAATTCTGGCCTAATGTGGCTATAACACCAGCAAAGACTGAGTGTCCTGAAATACTTCACTGTTAAAGATGTAATGTGTGCTCTGCTACAGAGACGTCCTGTCTCCACAGAGGTGACAAGCAGACAGCAGCAGCTAAATTTAAGATCGCCAGTCAGAAAAAAATAGAAGAAGAAAATGCAACCCACAAATAAACTTCATTTTGAAATGTGTCTTTAACTTCCCTCTCTTCTGGTGCTAAAGAGTAAATCATGTTCAGCTTCAGACAGCAATATCATAAAGAGGATGTTTGGCCTGATTTAACCACTACACATAAATGAAAGTTATGAAACTTCCAAAAGAGGTCATGCCACTTTATGGAATTCATAAACAACTGCGTCTCCTTCCAAAAATACTAAGACCTCGCTGAGCTTTCTGGGCTCTCTATAAGCGGTTTTAGTGGAGCAACAGACACTATAAATAGCAGCCAGGATCACTGCTTCCTTGAGACTCCAGTGTCTGTATCAAACAATGGCTGTCGCCAGGCGCAGGCTGTGACTCGCAGGAATCTAGAGATGAAGCGAAGCAGCATCTGGAGTGTGTCCCTCTGAGAGCTGCTGTGACACATAACACTCCTCGGTATTCCTCTGGAAGTTACTTTAGAAAAACAAAAACCGACCTTTTAGTTATCCAGGGAATGTTGACTGAGCATGCACGCAATGTCTCATTCTGCATTTTTTCTGCCACTCAGCATTTATGGTACACCTACGAGTTCAGTGACTTACATGTACTTCCTGGCAGGTCCAGGATTCAATCCAGCAATCCAGGATTCCAGCCTCTGTTGCCAAAAACTGTGCCACTTGTCTTCTTCCTCTCCCTGAGCTCTGACACTTGTTCAAATAAATACCCATCTGAAAGCATCTCTAATATTAGAAGCCCCCTCTTCTCTTGTAGTGCAAGTTACGCTTCTGTATTTATTTAAATGGCAAACATTAAGTGCTATTTAAGACTTTATAGCTGCAATTTATACTTGAGATTACACACTGGTGCCTCCACTGGCAACAACCAACCCTAGCTAAAATAAGTAACGTTCACACAGCGCGCCCATGTTTTTAGTGGTGAATGCGGCTTCGTCTAGAACAGATGTTCCTCGAATCTTCCAGAGGTATCATGAACCCCCAAATTGATACACATCAGGCTGCAGGCTCTTATTTGATAAGATGTGGTCCCAGGGATCCCGTCTGATAAGATTTAGTAATTCCATAACTGTCTATAGATTAGATTGGCAGCATTATCTCATTGGGCTTTTGCTGGGGACCCCTGGAACCCCCTCAAGGACCCCTTGAGAACCTCTGGTCTAGAAGAAGCTGCTATTTTAATTTCTATTTAAGGATTATCATTTCCTGTCAGCAGGTTAAGTGCCCATATCCAAACAGTATGTCTATAAGCACACTCTAAAAGAATACATATCAATAAAGGATATTAAGGACATGAACTTTGCCAATAGCCAATATTCACAGCAAGAGTAGACAGGGTGTTAATGGTAATATAACAGGCTCAAACTACAACATCAAACTAATACCGGGACGAGTCTACACTGGCATTGTTGCCTCCCAAGATGGTCTCTGTGTCAGATTAGGTGATCATACATCAAAAATTCTTGCTGTGGCTTGGCCAAAAGAACATTCCAGACCACACGGCGAACCCCTACCAATCAGATCAGCACTGACATGCCAGGGACCAACTTCATCCTGCTTTTGCTCTGTGCTCCCACGGGCCGATGTCACAGAACACGTCATAGAAGTAGGGAAGAGAAAACACTCTAGTGTTTGTATCCTAGATGCTGTGTCAGTGGTCTGAAGTCACTTTTGTTCTCCAACATCCCAAGTCCGTCTGGTCAAGCCATTATAGCAGTGGTTCCCAAACATTTTAAAAACACAGCACCCCATAACGGGCGTTTTTTGTCATGGCACCCCTACAAGCAGCTACACCTGTCCGCACAGCTGTGAGCCATACAGCTTTCACTGTAATTTAGCTCTTTACATCAGCTTATGTTCACATGTCTCAGAATGCATTGACATCTTCGCACTAGAGAAACTCATGAGCCACAAAGTGTGCTAATTCACTATAACAACCAGCAACCAGAAGCAGTCTTGTTATTAGCTGCAGCATAACTGCATATTTAACAGTTTCAAAAACGGTGATTCTAAATGCTGCCTTTTTTCTTTTATGGGGCGAAACTTTATTAAACAGCAAAATAAAATTAAAGCTGCAAGCAGCAATGTTTGGGCAGTCCGTATGGGTCCTGGTTGTGCTGCGGTTCCGTCAGCACCATGTGTAGACCACACATTACATATTATTATTTATATCGATATAAATAAATATATTAAATTATATATAAAATTAAGTAAATTCCCTAGGTGGAGGAATTAAAGTACAACACACCAAATTGGCAAAAGTGACCACTAAATTAAAAACAGCCATCCTCCTATTGGGTTTTGGGTATGTGTCCAAGAGGCTTTTTGGTTTGTCTGGTCATGATACACGTGTGTACCGATTTGCATACATATCGGTGAAGCGTGAGCAGCCGAGTTTAGGGGGGCGCGGTCAAGCCCTTTTGCCCCGCCCATGTGCAGGACCCATAGAATCTGCACATTTCCACCACCGTTGAATTTTGTCCCGCGTTTCATGAGTTTAAGCATACGGCCACCAAAAATGAGGTCCTTTTGGCAGAAAAATAATAATGCCTTGCATTTCAAAAGTGTCCTTGCAGCGGTCCATGCTCGGGCCCTAGGAAACAAATGTTGCAGCACACATTGGGAACCACTGCCATATTGGACTGATTAACTATAGTATTAACCAGGTATAAGGTGTACACATCCCACAGACTCACAGGTATTCCAGTTCTGGTAATCAAAATAGCTTATTCTCTTAACTGCTTAAGGTTTTTGCAATAAAATCCTGTTGTTGGTTAGAATGTAAACACAATGAATGAATGTCATTTGTGCAACAGAGGAGCTAGGATCCTCCTCTGCCTTACCCCTGCTGTGTAACCCCCCCAGTGTTGAGGTGAAAGTGCTGCTTTGAAAAGAAGTGTGTGAGAAAACTGTGCGTCTATTGTTATCATATCTAATGCATTTGGCACCTTTGCTGTGTTTTTCTCAGAACTGTGCGGCAGCTCTGTGAGTCTTCAGTCTTTCTTTGATCCGGCTCCTGCTCCAGGTGACACTCATTGATAGCAGAGGTAGCTGATGATGAGTTTTGGTATGTTCAGTTGACCTATGACCTTCAAAGCTCTGGTGCCCAGCTTCTTCCTCACCGCCAACCTGCTGAGCTGCTGCAGGCTCATGGGAGTGGCTACAGAAATGAAGAGTTAGATATACAGTAAGTGTTCTCAATATGTGGTGGAACAGAGTCATGGGTCTGGAAAATGAATTGCAGTATCACCACGGCAATTTGGCAAATAGTTTCAACAGTTTTCTTGCTTGTATTCAAAGTCTAAAAACTGCTGCACATTCCTTGTTGCACGCTGTGCTCCACTTTCTATATAAAGCTCTGGTACTAGAGTCAAGTGGCTAACATATACATGACCAACTGTATATATGAACATCATGGTAAACAACAGGTGTCCTCTGTCTGAGACTTCCTGAAGTGAAGTGAAAAGCGATCCTTGCTTGCCATCTGCTGGCGGTACACTGACACTACACTGTAGCGCGGAGTGTGAGGCAGATACATAAATGGTGATGTTTGATTGTTTTGATTATTTTGCACGTACTCTCATAAAACTGTAGGCAGGCTGCGGAGGGGGACCCCTGCGTGGTGTAATCGGCAGGTTTCCTGTCGTGCTGATCTCTGGCGTAGATGTTGGCCCCGAACTCCACCAGGATCTCTATCATCTCAACCCGCATGTTTTTAGCGGCGTGGTGCAGCGGAGTCTCGTGCAGCCGGGCCGCATTCACTTTAGCACCTGAAAGGAAAAGGACGCAGATGTTGGCTCTTGATGGATAAGGCTGGTGATATTCTGTTTTCATTATTGTAAACAAATGTCACAAGCTAGCTAACCTGTCCTGAAGTTACACCAGTGCTGGAATAAAACTCCCCAAACTCACTATGCGTCTTACTAGATTTAAACCTGCAAAATCTGAGAGCAGTAAACATACAAACATGAACCAAATTTAAAGCCATGCGGGATCTGCTCTGGTACATTTTCCCATCCTGCTTTGCGCTAATGCTCACCTGCATTTAGCAGCACTTTAACACAGTCAGTGTGTTCGTTAGCACAAGCCACATGCAGTGGGGTCCCGTAGTAAAGGTCATACGCTTCCAGACACGCATCCATGGCGATCAGGAGCTTCACACAGTCGGAGTTTCCTGAAGAATGACAGAAAATATCCTATAAGTTTATCTATAAAGACTTATGTCGGGCTTAAAGAGGTGGGTAACTCGATTTCACAAAAACTAAAAGGCTTGTGAAGTGAGCTGAGGCACCCTCACCTCCCATGCAGGCCTCATGAAGGGGTGAGGCCGTGCGGGAGGTGAGGGCGGGGTTGGCCTTGGCGCCATGCTCCAGCAAGAGCCTCACACACTCCAAACTACCAGCCGAACAGGCATCACACAGCGGGGTGCTCCCGTCTACGTTCCTCGCATCCACCTGGGATACATCACAGGACATGGAATTATATCATTTCCTCTCCTCATTCACTCAACTACAACAA